GAACCCTGGGCAGCCGCAGCGGAACGTGCACACTTAACCGCTTGCACCACCAGGCCAGCTCCCTCAATGACTGTTTTTGAAGAGTTATTTCAGAGCATGCTAAAAATTCTCTGGAAGCCAGATTTTTCCAGTATGGTAAAGCCGTCTTGTACTGATGAATTTGGAGAGTTTACTTTGTTTGTCTCCTAGAGCTAACTCTTCAGTTTATCAGTTGTTCACATTATTTTCCCTTTGTGGCCTTTTCTTACCGTTAATTCCTCAACTGGAAAGTGGACCAGGAAAGGAGAAATTCCTATAACCCTGCCTCATAACAGTTAACGTCCCACTTGTATGTGGATTTAAGTTAGTACAGTTTTTTTTTTAATTTTTTTTTTTTAATTTATTTATTTTTCCCTCAAAGCCCCAGTAGATAGTTGTATGTCATAGTTGCACATCCTTCTAGTTGCTGTATGTGGGACACGGTCTCAGCATGGCCGGAGGAGCGATGCGTCGGTGCACGCCCGGGATCTGAACCTGGGCCGCTAGCAGCGGAGCGCACACACTTAACTGCTACGCCACGGGGCCGGCCCAGTTAGTACAGTTTTTATACATCATAACTGGGTCTTTAAATCAGTGAGAAGTCGGGCCAAAATTACCATCCCAAAGCCCAGATCCCAAAGCCTTTTCCTCTAACGGAGTTCTTCCAATTCTTTCTCAGTCTGTTTCCTCTATTTTATATGAAATTATGAAAGGTGTTCTCATCCAATTTCCTAGCACACCACTTAAAAGAAACTGCTGTTTTAGGGCATACAGAGATCTGACATTGAAAGGAAAAACAAGAATTATAAAATTATATCAGAAATATGTAAATGCATCATTCTAATAAGATCATGTAATAAGAGAAAAAATCCATCTCCTCTCGGTCTTTAAAGACATCATTTTACTAATGCAGAGTTATAGTCTGCTTGTGGTTATCCTGAAATCATCAAGAAAAATTTAGCCAATAAAAAGGGGGCAGTTTCAGTATCGGGGAAAAATTGCTGGTGTATAACATTGATTATATTACAACCAGCCCAGAGGTGATAAGTTAATGGCTCCTACATATCCAGCATCTTCTGAGGTGAGAGAGAATTTGTCTGAGGTCAGGAACTTTGTCTCATATCTCACTTCTCACTGTGCTCAGCCCAGCATCATGAGCACCTGCTTGTACTCAGCACATCCTTGCTAGAAAGCTGCTTTTCTTGTGGCTCTGTTGTCAACGGCTGAAGTGGCTACTTGCACTTAACACTTCTCAGAGCTTTCTGTAATTCTAACAAGGTACAATGTCTTACTATGCTGGACTTAGGACTCTTCTGATTGTTTTTATTTCTCAGTAGTTGACTTGATACCTTTTGGTTTTCTGTCTGTCTCATTGATTTATGTTTTTTAAAATATGGCCTGACCCAGAATTAAGTGTAGCCCTATAATGAAGTATCTCTTTCCTTTCCTTTCCCTTAAACAATGTTTTTGGCCAAGTTCAGAAAGGTTTTGTTGATTTCAGTTGTGCATGAGTATTTTTCAGGTATTATTTTAATTAGCCTCTGGTTTTTAGCTTTCTTTGTGATTAAACGAATGTTTGTAGAGTACTCACTGTGTGCTGGGTAGGTCTGTGAGTGTTATAGGGGTGGATAAGACACATTCCTTGCCTTTAGGGAATGTGGGGTTCAGTGCATATTTCAATTACTGTATCTTTTTTACAGTTTTTTTTTTTTAATAAAAAAGTAAACCCTTGCAAGTTATCAGTACGATAAAGAAAATGTTAGTTTTTCCTCCTGTATGGTAATTTCTGCTCTTTTTGGAATCTACTGAAGAAAATGTCTCAAGAACTCAGTTTAAAATGTTTTTGCTATAAAGTGCATAATGACTGTTTTTCACAATCAGTGTCTCGACGAAGTAGTGAAGAGATGAAACGAGACATCTCTGCACCTGAGGGAGCGTCGCCGGCCTCTCTGATGGGGATGGGAACCACATCACCACAGCTTTCCCTTTCCTCCTCTCCCACGGCATCTGTGACCCCCACCACCCGAAGCCGGATAAGGTAGAGAACAGCTAATATTGATGCATTTCATGTGTGCCTTTCCTGGCCTTTTGAGAGTAAATGACCAGGTTGTAAAATAATGGCATTAGAGCACTGATTTTTTTCTTTCTTTGTGTGTTATTAAGTGTTTTCTGATCTCCTTTTCTGTACTGGAATTAGGTAAGATAGCATAGAAGTAAAAAGTGAAATAAAATAAAAGAGATCCTTTCCCAAAGCAGCTGGTGTTTTGGGGGTTTTTTGGTTTTGGTTTTTTAAATTAGAGAACGGTTGAGTACAAAAGTAAGTCTTGTGAAATTTGAATCCTGGGGTGTGGATGGAGTTAAGGGAAGTGTTGGAGTGGGATCGGAGTGGGGCTTTGAAGGTGGTGGATGGGGAGGAGGGCGGGCATTACTGGCAAGGTCAGTGACTTGAGTGATTGTACAAAAAGGATGAGTAAGCGAGGAGTTGGGGGAGCTACCAACTGAGGAGGTGGTGCTGCATATGCAGAGGGGACAGGTACCGAAGACCAGAGGAAGGTGTGTACCTACCATATCCAGGGCAGTGGGAAAAAAGATGGACTAGGTAGGGTTTGGCCAGGCAGTGGAACCTCTTTAAAGTCAAATTGAGTCACTTTGATGTAGTAGCAGCTATAAAGTGGGATAAGTAAATTAATATGAGAGGGCGATTCGAGGATTATTCTATTTCTGGACAAAAGTTGGGGACAGCAAATAAAAGAATATTATAATGTTTCTAGGACAAAGTCATCAATCTGGACCAGGGTGATAGCAGTGGAAATGGTGAAGGGAGGGTTGGACTCAGGAGAGTTTTCAAAGGGAAAGATGATTAATTTCGGCAACAGATTTTTAGAAAAGGAATGAAAGAACGAGAGCTACCGAAGATGGCTCTAATTGTTTAGACTGGGAGCTGAGAATGTGATGCTACATTAATAATTGATAAACAGTACATGAAAATTTAATATTTTATTCATATTTCTATTATGTCAGAAGCCATTTGGGACTAAGAAGTATTTATAATTTAGAAGAAGAAAATAGATGTCAAAAATTTAGCATACATTGTTTATAGGAATGACGAAAAACTGTTGGGATGTATTAAGAAGAATTGAAGAAGGGATAGGAATGGGTTTCAGAACTTTAGCCATATATTGACTTACAGGTTTGAAGATAAAATAGAATATTTAGCCGCTCAAATTCAAATTATGTACAGTCATGCACCACATAACGATGTTTTGGTCAATGATAGACGGCATATACGATGGTGGTCCCGTAAGATTAGCAGCATATAGCATAGGTGTGGAGTAGGCTCTACCATCTCGATTTGTGTAAGTACACTCTATGTTGTTTGCACAATGACGAAATCGCCTAACGACGCATTTATCAGAACACATCCGTGTCGTTAAGCGACGCATGACTGTACTTACTTTTAAAGCCCTGCCTCTAGGGGACCAGGCTCTTAGAATAGTGGTCCCATAAGCAGTGCGCCATTGGAACAAGTTGGGGGTGCAGTGATGAGGGTAGCTCAAGCTCTGCCCTGGCTGGTGCAGGGGAGAGCACTGTCCGCGCCTGTCTTTGTGTCCTAGGCGATAGGCTACCTGCGTGTGCCTGTGGGAAGGGCACCCACTCTTCCTGTCTCCCCTACTTAGAAGCTATCATCTTCAACAAGGCATCTCCTGGCCTTAGTTTCCTCATCTTACAATGAAGAAGTTACAAATGAGATGACCCTCCAGCTCTAGGGGGCTCTTTTCTGCAGCTTCTCATTGTGTCCATAGAGTTTACTCTTCTTTGATGCTTTTTAAGCTGTTTCAATAACAAAACGGACCTGGTGTGAGCCAGGGTAAACCTTTCACATACAATAATTGTAGTAATTTTTATTTTGAGCATGATAGAGATTTTTTGGCTTGCTTTTTTGCATTCATTCACATATCTTAACTTTATCTTCATTCTCTTTTCCTGTGTTCGGTGGTGTTATAACAAATTTGTTTGAACCCTTTAAACCAAAGCAGGAATCTAGTGGGCTGGCACACGAACATAAAAGTATATTTCTTCAAGGCAGCAATCTAATGCATGTTGAAATATTTTTGTATTTTGCTTTTGGTTCTAAGGTAAATAAAAATTGGTGTTATTTGAGTGCACCTCTCAATTGGAAAGGCTTCAGTTCTGAATGTGTACTCTTCGATTTCATAGCATGCTTTGAAGGGTGAATACAGACAAAATCAATGTGCTGAAGAATGCCAAGCCACTTGTGACATAATAACCTCTAAGACATTTACTGGGCTAGAGTCTCCACTTTACTTATAAAGTAATCACTGAAAAACAGACCAAGCTTTTAAGAGTCTGCTGCTTGTCGAGGGGCAGGTTATTTTACAGAGCATTCTCTCTGTCTCCAGGTAGTCCTTAGTGTTCCGGTTTACTTCTAAAGTAGCTACTGGAAGGAAGAACGTGGTAACTGATTGAGAAGGGTTGTATGCCTCCCCTGCTTCATCCGGAGAGTGATCACAAAATTTTTTTTGATTCAGTGTCTGGTCTGGGGCAGGATATTTATTCTGCCTCAAGGCAATTGGCAGTGCCCTAAAGTATCCCATATAATTTTAAGAAATGAGTTAGATATAGCCATTGTTTTTTTTTCCCAAGCTTCTACAGTATTTCCATCCTACAGGAAACTCTGAAGTTCCCTGAGGGGGCAGAGCCCTGTGTTGTTCACTGTCCATTGCCCAGCACTTGCACATTGCCTAGCACAGTGGTGCTCCATAAGGAGGAGGTATTGAATGTGTGTGTGTTTACAGAAAAATCCCATTTTCTATGCAAGGTAAAATTCTAGTTACCTGCAGTCAATTAAGAGTGTACAACATAGCAGTAAACACATTTGAGACATTTTATGGATGTTTTAAATGTTTATTGCCATCTTTTGTCTGATCTGCATCCCCCAGTTTTAAGCACCTTGAAGGCAGAAACTATGCATTATAACTGCACCTTGCATAGCCTTGTCCTTTATATTTACAGTAAGTGATTGTTTTTTTAAAAGATGAAATGATTGAGGATATAAAAGGTTGGAAACAAAAATGAGTAAAATAAAACCAAAGCATAAAGATTATGGAACGGTAAGGTATTGAATGAAAGGCAGCCATAACAACTTTCAGATGCTGCCAGTATCAGGTTGTTTTCCCCCCTTCTGAGTATCCTGGAATGTATTCCATTAATTGTGAATGCATGCTGTACTGAATCTTTGCCAGTTTCCGTGAGGATAATGAGTAGAGTCTCTCCCTCCAGGTAGCAGAAACCCCTGATAATCGTGGATCAGTGGGGACCCTGTAAAAGTTGGTAGGTAAAATCAAAGGAATGAAAAGATACATCTTGCCACTGGGTGCCTTAGTGTGTGCATTTATCTTGTTCAATAATGCAAACCAACACTGTTTTCTTCTGTTTGTTGGATTTCTGGTTTATAATGGTGCTCAAATAAAAAATATTTCAACCTTGGGTTCCTTATTTTCGCTTATCAGGGAAGAAAGGAAGGATCCTCTCTCAGCATTGGCAAGAGAATATGGAGGATCAAAAAGGAATGCCTTGCTGAAGTGGTGTCAGAAGAAAACAGAAGGCTATCAGGTAACCGTGTGGTTCCTTTGTCCCACATGAGCAATTGCCAAACCAAATGTTGGAGTGTCATAGCTTGCTACGTATCTCACGTCAGAAATGTTGAATCCTATACTGAACTTCAGAAACACATTCAACACATTCAAAGTCTACTCTAAACTTGGCTGAGTGTCACTTGAATGGAATAAGTTTCTTACCTTTCTAGAGTAGCTAATGTTTGCAGTACTTTTGTGTGTGTGTGTGACGAAGCTTAGCCTTGAGCTAACATCCGTTGCGAATCCGAATCTTCCTCTCTTTGCTGAGGAAGATGGGCCCTGAGCTAGCATCCATGCCCATCTGCCTCTACTCTATTTGGGATGCCACCACAGCATGGCTTGACAGGCGGTGCTCTGTTCTGTGGCCAGGATCCGAACCTGCAAACCCTGGGCCACTGCAGCGGAGCACATGAACTTAACTGCTACACCACCAGCCGGCCCCTGCAATACTTTTATTCAGCTATTATAGCAGTTTCTTATTTAAATCCTAGTTAAATGCTTTTGTTGAGGTCTCATCTGGACCAAGACTGAAAATATATTTATTTTACTTTAAATTAATATTTTAATTATCATGTTTAAAGTTTTCTTTTGGCTAAGTTGTTTTTCATAGTATTCCCCCTTCCCACTGTGCTGTCTGTGTACCCTCATCATTTCACGTCTTGACTGTTTTAATAGCCTGCCCTTTCTGCCCGTCTGTTGTCTTTCTGTTGGTTTCTCTCTCTCTTTTTTTCTTTCAATATTTTATTCCGGTTTTATTTTAAATGCTGTTAAATATGACATTTGGAGAAGTAGTCCTAATTCTACTCAAAATGGAAACCTCTAAACTATTTCCATTAGAAAGCTAAAAAGTAGGGCCAGCCCCATGGCTTAGCGGTTAAGTGCACGCGCTCCGCTGCTGGCGGCCCGGGTTCGGATCCCGGGCGGGCACCGACGCACTGCTTCTCCGGCCATGATGAGGCCGCGTCCCACATAGAGCAACTAGAAGGATGTGCAACTATGACATACAACTATCTACTGGGGCTTTGGGGGAAAAAAAATAAAATAAATAAAAATTAAAAAAAAAAAAAAGAAAGCTAAAAAGTACAATTTAGATTCCCAGCATCCTCACATATGATTTTAGGTACAGAGACTCTTCCTAGCCTGCAGCCACCGTTCTCGATTGCCATTTCATATTTTGGTGCAATTGCACTGAAGTACAACATGAGAAAGGAATTAGAGTTCTGTATTCTTGGTCTCATCACGTCAGCCCTCATCTCACCAAAATGACATAAAAGAACTACCTGCAACATTTCCCAACAGTTTTTGGGTATAAGAGATAATGAAGTAGTGGAGGAACAAATTAAGAAGATCTGCCATAAATAAAGCCCTTTTGGACAAATTTGTACATAATTTCAGGCAGTAATCCTCAACTCATTTAGGATAAAAGAGCCAAGTGTATTGCAATGGACTTTCAGTTCTTAGAAAGTCAAATAAATAGTCAGTGAGGATTTACTAAGTGTCTACATGTCTCCAGCTTCCGTTTGATAAAAAGGAGACTACTAGTGTTGGCAAGGATGTGAAGAAATTGGAACCGTTGTTCACTGGTGATGGGAATATAAAATGATGCTACCACTGTGGAAAAAAGTGTGGTGGTTACTCAGAAAATTAAACATAGACTTACCATATGATCCACAGCAATTTGCCTCTCGTGTATATATCTACCCAGAATAATTAAAAACATGGACTTGATCAGATATCTGTACACCTGTGTTCATGGCAGCACTGGTCACAATAGCCGAAAGGTGAAGGCAACACAGGTGTCCATCGACAGATGGATGGGTAAACAGAATGTAGTATACCCATACAGTAGAATATTATTCAGCCTTAAAAAGGAAAGAAATTCTAACATATGCTGCAACGTGGGTGAACCTTAAAGACATTATGCTAAATGAAACAAGCCGTATACAAAAGGACAAATATTTTTTGAGCCTGCTTATATGAGTAGTCAGATTTATAGAGACAGAAAGTAGAGTGGCGGTTGCCAAGGGCTGGGGCAGGGCCTACTGGGGGGCAGGGGGAAGAGTACAGAGTTTCAATTATGCAAGATGAAAAAAGTTCTGGAGATGGATGGTGGTGATGGTTGTACAACAATGTGAATGTACTTAATGCCACTGAGCTGTACACTTAAATATGGTTAAAATGACAAAATTTATGTATATTTTACCACAATAAAAAAAATTACTTAGCAGAAAAAAAAAGTAAAGGATTGGGATACAACCAGGTAGAAAATCAGCAGGGACGTACAAGACTTGAACTATATACTATATGTATGAACTAAATACTAACTAGACCTGTAGGACGTCTATGGAACACTCTACCCAACAACAGCAGAATACACATTCTTCTCAGTTGCACATAGAATATTCTAGGATAGGCTATATAGTGAATCATAAAACCAGTCTCAATAAATTTGAAAAGATTGAAATTATACAGAGTATCTTTTCTGATCACAATGGAATAAAATTAGAAATTAATAACAGAAGGAAAATGCACAACATACCAAAACTTACGGGAAGTATTTTTTATTTATTTATTTATTTATTTTTTCCCTCAAAGCCCCAGCAGATAGTTGTAGGTCATAGCTGCACATCCTTCTAGTTGCTGTATGTGGGACGTGGCCTCAGCATGGCCGGAGAAGCAGTGCGTTGGTGCGCGCCCGGGATGGAACCCGGGCCACCAGCAGCGGAGCGCGCGCACTTAACCGCTAAGCCACGGGGCCGGCCCAGGAAGTATTGAAAGCAGTTTTCAGAGGGAAATTTATAGCTGTAAACACCTACCTTTAAAAAGAAGGAAAAAATCTCAAATCAGTAACCCAACCTTCCACCTTAAGAAAGTAAAAAAAGAAGAGCAAGCTAAACCCAAAGCAACCAGAAGGAAGAAAATAATAAAATTTAGAGCAGAAATAAAAGAAATAGAAAAATAGTAGAGAAGATCAAATGAAACCAAAAGTTGGTTCTTGGAAAAGATCAACAAATTGACAAACCTTTAGCTGATTGATAAAGGAAAAAAAAAGAGAAGACTAAAATTACTAAAATCAGGAATAAACGAGGAGACATTACTAATCTTACAGAAATAAAAAGGATTAAAAAGGAATGCTATGAACAGTCGTATGCCGACAAATTGGATGACCTGTATGAAATGGACAAATTCTTAGAAATACACAAACTATCAAAATTGACTCAAGAAGAAAGAGGGGCCGCCCCGTGGCTTAGCGGTTAAGTGTGCGTGCTCCGCTACTGGCGGCCCAGCTTCGGGTCCCGGACGCGCACCGACGCACCGCTTCTCCGGCCATGCTGAGGCCGCGTCCCACATACAGCAACTAGAAGGATGTGCAACCATGGCATACAACTGTCTACTGGGGCTTTGGGGAGAAAAAGAGGAAAAAAAAAAAAGAAGAAAGAAAATCTGCATAGACTTATAACGACTAAAGAGATTGAGTTAGTAATCACAAACTTCCAACAAAGAAAAAGCCCAGGACCAGATGGCTTCACTGGTGAATTCTACCAAGCATTTAAAAGAAGAGTTAACACTAGTCTTTCTCAAACTCTTCCAAAAATAGAAGAGAGAACACTAACTCATTCTGTGAGGCTAAAATTATCCTGATAACAAAGTCAAAAAAAGACGTCACAGGTAAAGAAAAGTACAGACCAATATTCCTTATGCAAAAATCCTCAACAAAATACTGACAAAAGGAATCCAGCAGCAAATAAAAAGAATTATACACCATGACCAAGTGGGATTTATTCCAGGAATGCAAAGTTGGCTCAACATATGAAACTTAATCAGTGTAATACACCATATCAATAGAATAAAGAGAAAAAAACCACAAAGTCATCTCAGTAGATGCAGATTTGGCACAATTCAAAACCCATTCATGGTAAAAACACTTAAGAAACTAGGAATAGAAGGGAACTTTCTCAACCTGTTAAAGGACATCTATGAAAAACCCACAACTAACATCATACTTAATTGTAAAAGACTGGATGCTTTTGCCCTAAGATCAGGAACAAGAAAGGATGTTCACTCTCACCACTTAAATTCAGCATTTTAATTTGAAGTTCTAGAGAGGGCACTTGGGCAAGAGAAAGACATAAAAGGTATTGAAAAGGAAGAAGTAAAACTATTTCTGTTTGCACATGACATGTTTGATACCTTAAAGAATTCACATAAAAACTGTTAGAACTAATAAATTCAGCCAAGTTGCAGGATACAAGGTCAATTTAAAAATCACTTGCATTTGTATATACTAGCAAAGAAAACGCTAAAAATAAAATTAAGACAACACTTCCATTTATAATAGCATCAAAAAGAATGAAATACATAGAAATAAATTTAGCACAGGGGGCACAAGGCTTGTACGCTGAAAACTACAAAACACTGCTGAAAGAAAATCTAAGTAAATGGAAAGACATTCCTTGTTCATAGATTAGAAACTTTGATACATGCTACAACATGGATGAACCTTGAAAATATTGTGCGAAGTGAAAGAAGCCAGACACAAAACTCCAGCCTGAAAGACTTGGATACTCCAGACCTGAAAGCAGGTATAAAACTGTTGCTCTCAGCTTTGCTTAGTGGCAAGAACATCTGTGCTGGTGGCTACGAGTTTAATCTAGGACTGAAATCTCAAGCATAAATTAATATTGTACAACCACCTAATTTTTTTTCTTTAGAGCATTTTTTGAGATATGCTTCACATAAGTTATAATTCACCCATTTAAAATGTACATTTTAGTGTATTCACAGAATTGTACAACCATCATCACAATCAATTTTAGAATATTTTCATCAATCCAAAAAGAAATCCTTTACCCATTAGCAGTCACTCCCCATTTGCTGTAGGCATCCACTAATCTACTTTCTATCTCTAAAGATTTGCCAATGGTGGACGCTCCACATAAATGGAATCACATAATATGTGGCTCTTTGTGACTGGCT